TTTTTTTTTGCGGAACCGGGGATTGAACTCTGGCCCTTGCGCTTGCCAGGGAAGCACTTATTCCACTGAGCCATCTCCCCGGCTCAAGTAGGTGCTTTAGACCACTGAGCCATCTCTCCAGCCCTCAGACCAACTTTCTGCCAAGCCAAAACACGAGTGATCTGGAGTCGTACAGCCAATGCAATCGTTCTTCCCAGCAGAAACCTCCCCAGCCTGGTCTTTACAGGCAGGTTTCCCGTCAGTCGTCTGGTCTGAGCTCTGACCAGAATCTTCCCAACAGAACAGCTGAAGCTGTTCCAGTGCTTTGCTTGTAGGCAGCATCTCCAAACCTATCCTATCTCTTCTCATAAGCCATTCCCAAAAGCTTGTAATCCACATCATCAGGTATAACCACAACAATGACCCCACTCCTGGTATCAAATTCTGTCTTAGTTACTCTTCTCTCATTGCTGGGATAAATACCCAACACTCAGGCTTGGGGAAGGAAAGGTTTATTTAGCTCACAGTTACTGGAGGTTTCAAGACACTGGAAGAGAGGCTGGGATGCTGCCATGTCCAGGATGACCAGCATACCTCTAAGAGACCGCTGCCTGGGTGGGGGCAGCATGTGCTGTCAGTTTAATGGTTCACACCCCTCAGGCCCCGCCCCGGTCCTCTGGCCCTGCTCTCTTCTCAAGCCATCCTTGCTCCTCCAGTGCAGTCTGCCCCATAACTTACAGGAGGCTTTGGGGGTACAACTAGACACAAACCATCACAGTCCCCTGTCTCAGAAAAGCCAACAGACTGTTGTGAACCAAAGCGAAGCAGAGACTGCTCTAAGAGGGCCATGGACCAGGTGCTGTGTTCATCTTGAGGTGCCCAACGTCTTCAGACTTAACGTATTATGCTTTCATGGCCTTGGCACCCAGACTTGCCTTTCCTTCCCTTGTAGGCGCATCGGAACCTGTCCCAGCTCCCAAATTTTGCCTTCTCTGTGTCGTTGGCATATTTTCTGTTGAGTCAGCAAACAGACCTCCCCCAGCAGGAACTGAACTCCATGAGGGAAAAGGCCTCGAGCCTCATCCGACAGGCGCTCATCATGTTCCCTGGAGGTGAGCACTCCCCACAAGGTGCCAGCGCTTCCAGGGCCTCCTCCACGTGTGGAGAGCAGCACTTGCTAAGCTGCTAGAGCCAGCTCCCCGCCCATCTGCAGGCCTTCTCCATGCCTGGCCAGGCATGGAGGGTGGGGTGGGCACACCGCGTCCTGAGCCTCCATGCACACTGGCTCTTCCTTCGTGATAGTGGAGGTGAGTGCGCACGGCTACACCTGCATACCAGGCGCCTGCTCTTCTATAGGAAAGGCCTGGTGCGGCTCCACCCTGCTGAGCAGGCTGGGCAGGGTTACTTCACAAGGTTAGAGCCACTGTCTGCCCAGGCGGAGTGGTGCCCCCACGGGCCCTCATCAGACTGAACCCAGAGCAGGTCCTTCTCATGGACTGGAAAGGGTCTCCTTGCACCCGGGGATAGCTGAGGCAGGACAGCCTGTCCACCGTGGACCTGCTCTGTCAGGTCTGGTGCTGCACAGCAGTGTGGTCTGTGTCCTCACAAGTGGGAGGTCACTGGGAGGCTGTGCTCTCCCGGCAGCTCCATTGCCGATTCCCAGAATGCAGTCTGTCTAGGGGGCATGGCCATGGCTCTAACCTAGGGGAACTGGTTCCCTGAGCCCCACACGTCAGTCACTGACCTGCTCCCAGGCTCTGCAGCAGTGCCTTCTGTAGCACGAGCATCCACACAGGCCCTTGTCTGTCAAGGGGCCAGGATGTGTCACTAGTGCATTCGGCACATGCCCATCAGCCGTGCGCCTCTGCTGAATACTCCTGTCCCATCCCTCTTGGGATCAGATGAGCCCCCTCCAGGCTCAGAGGCACTCAGCTGGGTGTGGCAGACCCAGCTGCGGACCTAGCCCTCAGCAGCAGTGTGTAGAGCCTGGGCCTCGCCTTCAGTGCACCAGCCTGTGTCCCTTGTCATCTGCTTGGAGCTAAGTGCAGGTGCACCTGGCTCCTGGGCACACACTGCCTTTGCTTCTCCTGTAGCTCTCATGCCCTTGCTGGAGTACTGCAGCGTGCGGCCTGATGCCACTGTCTCAGGGCACCGATTCTTTGGCCCCGATGCTGAGATAAGGTAAGGGGTGGAAGACACCCAGGTGTCTTCTCACAAGTCCTTGTCCTCACAGGCAGTGGAGGGCTGCCATGCCCCAAGATTGCAGGGTTGGGGTGCCTGTGGGGCCATTGCTCCTGCCTTTGCCCCCATCATGGTGACCTGCTCACTGGGGAAGTTCTCTCCAGTTCAAGAGAAGGGGTCAGTGGAGCAAGTGAGCACCCAGCCTAAAGAACACAGTCTGCAGAGAACAGCTGCTGGGCACAGGCATAAGGTCCCACATGGTGCCTGCCTGGGGTGGGAGCTAGGATGGGTGAACTCATGACCTTCATATTTATTTAAAAAACTTAGGAGTTTGGAGCTGGTGAGATAGCTCAGTGGATTAAGCACCTGCTTGGGCAAGTGCAGGGGTTGGGGTTCGAGCTCCAGCAGCATGTGCCGCACCAGCCTCACCCCCTGCCATGCTGAGCCAGCTCCCGAGACCAGATCTGGTGGCGCCTGCCTGTAATTCCAGTGCTAGGGAGGCTGAAACCAGGAGGATCACTATGAGTCTGGGCTGTGTAGTGAGACCCTGAACCAAATACGTTAAAAAATAATAAATTAAAAAACAAAACTTAGGAAGCTGAGTGTGGTAGTGTATGCCTGTCATCGTAGCACTGTGGGAGATTGAGGCAGGCGGGTTTCAAGTGTGAGCCCAGCCTGGGCAGCATAGCTACTTAGCAAGGCTGTCTCGGAAATACAAAGTGCTCAGAATGTCACGCAGTGCACAGGCCCTAGATGCGATCCCAGTACCACAACAACAGAAAAACCCCACAGAGTCACAGGAGATTCTTGTGTCGTCCCCCCTGTCCCCGTCCCCCCCACCCCCGCGGGAGATGCTGTGGCTATTCTAGTCTGCCCTGCCCTGGACATCCTGTTGCCTACCATCCCACTCCCCCAGCCAGCCGCCCGCCCTGAGCCAGCTGGTGAGCCTGTACCTGGGGAGGTCGCACTTTCTGTGGAAAGAAGCTGCCACCATGAGCTGGCTGGAGGAGAACGTCCGTGAGGTTCTGCGGGCCGTGGACGCGGGGGATCCTGCTGTGGAGGCCTGTGAGGGCAGGTGAGCCGGGCGGGACAGTGGTGGTGTGGCCTCACAGGTGTGTGGCAGAGAACATCTGCCGGTCTGCCCTCTCCTGGGGACCCTCCCGGGGAGGAGTCAGAGGGTTATTCCCAGAGACTTCCTAAGGGGTGGCAGCTGTTGCCACTCACACAGGTTGCAAACGTGGGGCTTGGCCATGAGCTTGGCTTCCTCCAGCCTGTGCTCTACCCCACATCTGCTGTGGTGATCGCCAGTCCCTGTCCCTCTGGCAGGAGAGCGGGACCCGGAAGTATCTGCCCTCTGCTGGCCTCCTTCCACATGGAGGGGGCGAGGGCAGCCCCTGTGGCTCCCATCAGCCCTGTGCTCTGGGGCCAGCGGTCCCGGGAGCCTGCGTTTTCTGCAGAGACGGCGAGGCGCCACGCCTGCAGAGCTGGCCGCTGTGCTGCTGGGCAGGAGGCTGCTCCCAGAGGGCTGCAGTTTGCTCGTAGCGCTGCGTCTTGGGATCGGTTGGTTAGGAAGTGGGCCCTGTGCAGTCGCAGGAACGACAGACATGCCCGAGGCCCCTTTGTAGACAGAACGACCTCAGCCACAGCTGTTGTTTCCTGGATGAGGAGGTTGATGGCACATTACCAGCTGGCGCCCTCGTCCAGAGCCTGCTCTTGCCGCAAGGGCAGGGGCCCGTCGCGCAGCCTCTTCCCGGGGTGTCCGGGCTCTTTCCAGGGCACTGGTGGGAGCTGCTGCTGCCAGCTCACATGCTGCTTTGTGCTCCCACGCCTCAGGCGGAAGGTGCTGTACCAGCGCGCACCCCGGAACATCCACCGCCACGTGATCCTCTCAGAGATCAAGGAGGCTGTGGCCGCACTGCCCCCGGTAAGGGGCTGAGAGGGCCTGTGGGGCAGGTGTTGGGGTCCCTTGGTGAATGTGGAATTCAGTCACAGGGGCGGGGCACAGCCCTGTCGCCAGGACCTGTCTTCCAGCGCTGTGACCATGTCCTGGTTGCTGTGGTCTGGAAGCCCAGAGGAGGAGCACAGATCAAGGCAGCCATGTGGCCAGGTCTTTCAAGGGCCTGAGCCTGAGCACCTCTGCTGGTCCGCAGGCCAGGGGCTGCCTGCCCGGGCTGCTCCAGTCAGCAGAAGAACAGCTGTGGGACTGCTGAGGGCTAGGGTGGTGTGTGGGGTGCCCGGGGCTTGAGTCTCTAGCAGGCAGCCACAGGCTTTTCCCCCAGTGCACAAACACTAAGCTGAGTGGAAGCTTGAGGCGATGGCCACCCAAGTGGCCCTGCACTCCTGCATCTTCCATCTGACCCATTGTCCCTTCCCAAGGAGGTGACCACGCAGTCGGTGATGGGCTTTGACCCTCTGCCTCCCCTGGACACCATCCACTCCTACGTCCGACCCGAGAGGTACCTGCCCCTGCTTTGCCCCGCGCTTGTGCAGACCCAGAAGGCAAGAGTCTGCCTGCCCTGGTGGGAGGTGTTGGGGTGTGGTGTGGGGGCGGCGCTGCCCTGCCCATGCCTATCTCACAGCAGCACTGCTCTGGTGGGTTCTGCAGCTAGTGCTAAAAATGGAGTGGGAAGCAAGGTAGGAAACCTCCTCTGGCCTCGCGGGTGCTCCGTGAGGTGGGAACAGGTGCTCACTATAGCACCTAGCAGTCCGCGTCAAGTCAGAGCTGCACGGCCTGCCCGGATGGTGCACACCCTTCACCTCAGCACACCCGGAGGCTGGGCCAGGAGCCGGCAAGTTCGAACTCTGCATGAGGGAGTTCGCAAGACGTGCCTCAACGTTATGAAGAGGACTGGGGATGTAGCTCAGTGCAGAGGCCCTGGGTTCAGGCTCTAATACCACGAAAGAACAAAACCTGTAGTCAGTCGGCTAGGTCAAGGTGCAGTGTGGAAAGGAAGAACTCTGGCCAGATGTGGGTGGAGCACAGCATAAGTGCCGCTGGGAGGTAGGCCAGGCGAGCCCGGCTGTGGGGTGAAGGGAGGGGAGCCATCTGAGCTCGGGCTCTGGGCTGCCTCATGCATAGGGCAGCTTCAGAATCCAGCTCCCAGGAGCACCTTTCATTCTCTTTCTGACCTTGAGAGTTGAGAAGCTGCCTGGACCCTCAGCCCAGTAGGTCTCCGTCCCTGGCAGAGTCTCCCTGTAAAGCGTGTGCAGCTCAGCACCGGGCAGAGAAGTGTCCTTTTCTTCCCACCAGATTGATACAGAACTTGGCCTTCATGTTCCTAGGAAAGCAGTCCCCGTCAAGTTCTTCAGGAGGTCAAAGTAAAGATTGCATCAGCAGGGTCGGAAACACCCAGCAGGCGAGGATGGCCCAGCCACCTGCACCCTGCTCTAGCTGTGCCCCCGAGGCAAAGGCCATGTATCCCCAGCAGTGGCCTCCCCAGATCTGCTGCCCTTGTGACAGACTGACTCTTTTTTAATTTTTTTAATATTTAAATTTTTAAAAAATGTTTTCAAACAGGGTCTTGCTCTGAAGTTCAAACTGGCCTTAAACTCACTGTGTAGCCCAGGCAGGCCTCAGACTCATGCAGTCAGTCCTCCTGCCTCAGCCTCCTGAGCGCTGGGATTATGGTGTGGGCCACCACACTCAGCTCCCTCCCCTTTTTAAGGGACAAGGAAACATAGGCCAAGGCTGCCTCCACTGTTTCCTTGAGACTCACTGGTCACCCTCCTTGCATGTCGCAGCCCCACCCAGGCCTTGCTGTGCTGCCTGAGAGCGCTCCTGGGTGCAGGTGTGAGGACTGACAAGGTGGTCCCTTCAGCTCCTCTGCTGACTGCTTTGACTTAATCTCGCAGGCTAAGTCCCGTCAGCCACGGAAACACAGTCGCCCTCTTCTTCCGGTCATTGTTGCCAAACTATGCTATGGAGGTAAGTGGGGCACACCCTGGCCAGAGGTAGTGTGAAGCACCCAGGAGGAAAGGGGGCCTCCTTGTTGGCTGTCAGCAGGACCACTTTGAGTGGGCTGGGCGGGTGCCCCTCCCTCCCTCCCTGCCTGCCAGGGCTCAGACCTGTCTCCCTGCTGCAGGGGGAGAGGCCAGAGGAAGGAGTGGCTGGGGGTGTGAACCGCAACCAGGGCCTGAACCGGCTGATGCTGGCAGTGCGAGACATGATGGCCAACTTCCACTTCAACGACGTGGAGGTGCCGCACGAGGAAAACCCTGAGGGCGAGGGTGACTGGGACTGATGCTGCGCAATTATGTTCCTGATTTCTGTTTGGGCTGGGGGGTGGCTCCCTGACTTAGAGATGCTGAATGTATGGTCAACCCACCTCCCACCCCGTTTCCTGTTTCCCTATAAACATCAGTGGTTATGCCCTCTGACGGGTGAGCTGTTCTTCCAGTTGCGGGGTGCACTTCAACGTCCATCTCTGTTGGAATAGCCCCATCGGCAATGCAGCCCACACTGTGTCACCCCCACTTCCAAAACCAGATGGGTGGCCCCCAGTGTGGGTCCCTGCTGAGCGTCAAGGCCCTGTGAACTTCTGGAGGGTACAGGGGCTCAAGGCAGAGGTGCTTCCCAGCAATGGGGATGCGATGTCCGGAGCTGCAGCTGCAATGTGTAACCAGGTGGCAGCGAATTCTACAGTGACGAGCCAGTGTTCTAAGGACAGCGATGACCCAGGCCTGTTCCTGAGGGGCTGTGAGGTCGGCATTGCCTGAGCGGGGACACTTGAGTTGAGGCGGTTTCATGCGAACGGTGCACAGCGAACACGGCCTGGTTACGTCTTCATAGCCTCTGCAAGGCTTAGCCTGCCAGGCTCCTCCTTGTGCCCTCAGCCCCACTGGAGTTTGTGTTGCTCCACTGTGCTCCTTCCCACCAGGCCGAGAGCCTGCTAGCTTGAGACAGGGAGCTCAACCGAGGTCTCACAGCCCAGCCTCCTGAGGAGGGGAAGAGGTCCGCTCTTGGCCACGTGGGCTCACGGGGCCCTTCACAAGAGACACAGAGGTGAGGGCCAGCCAGGGCTTGCTGTTCGGCCCCCATCCTGGGCCGCATGCACCTGGCCCTGCCCCCACCAGGACGGCTTCTTTAGTGCACTGTGGGCTGGAAGGTGGTGCCTGGGCCAAGGGAGAGGTGTGTGCCCTCGGTGTCCCTGCTCAGTAGGTGGTGGCCTGTGCCTTCTCAGAAGCGAATTCTTCTGGGCACTAGGGCATCTGGTTCATCCGATCACATGATCCCAGGACTGATTGACTACTGACCACCCCACCCCACCCCACCCCTGCGTCCTCTGACCGTAGCAAATCAAAGCCCTGAGTTTTCCCAGCTGGGCTGCCCTTAGCTTCTTCCCAGGAAGCCCCCGCAGATGCATCCAGTGTGCTGCTCACTGGGGCATGAGGCAGGGTCGTCCCCTCTCTGGTGTGTGAGTCGGACACGGGGAAGGATGTGGTGGCCCTGCCTGAGGCCTGAGTGCTCGTGCCTTTTGAAGTCCAGGCTGGGGAGGGGCGGGGCAACCAAGCTGTCTCAAAGGCCTCATTGAGGAGCCAGTGCTGATCCCTGCAGTGTGACAGTAGAGGCCCCAGGGGCAGGCCGGCTTCCGTCCGTCCGGTGCACATGCAGGTGTCCCTCCCGCAGCGAGGGCCCTGCCTCCTTGTCACACCTGCCCTTTGCTCCCCTGGACAGCTCCTCTCTGGAGCCTGGGAAGGGCAGAACACACGAGCAGACTGGGGAGCAGAGCACGGCCACGCGGGCCTCCGTCTTCCTCTCAATCACACGAGGGCAAGAAGGGCTGCTTCCCTCGTGTGGGAGACCCTAGCACCGAGCCTACTAAGCTGGACAAGCCTCGTGCCACACAGCTTCATGGCCAGCTGTCACCTGGCAACTCATGTGACCAGAGGGGACCAGCCCATCGAGCAGGAGTGGTCCGAAGCCATGCAGAACACATAGTGGTCCATCATGCAGTGACCTCACCACCAGCAGAGCAGGCTGGGGCTGGGCTTCAGTCAGCCGCAGCAGTGGGCATGGGCCCAGTGGGAGCAAAGCACGCAGCCGGGAAGCTCACCTGGTGAGCTGAGGCAAGCGAGCAGGAGGCCTCGGAGGCTAGGACTGCGCCGTGGCCTGGGCGCTGCACTCAGGCTGTGTTGGGTGGGGCGTCCGCCTGCCTGCCTGCCTGCCTGCCTGCCTGCAGCCCCGATTTGTGCAGTTGGACGTCTGTCACACCTCAGTGCTTTATGCAGCAGGAACGGAAAACTTTGCCTTTCAGCACAGAAGCAAGGAATGATGCATCTTTCTTAGTGGCTGCTGTGCGTTCTCTTGTGTGGTTGTATGGATGGCCAGGGCCTTCCGGAGCCAGAGACTGGCTGGTATTTGGGTGGGGAGTGAGAGAGCCTGTCTGTTTCCTTGGTGTGGTACTGGGATTGAACCCAGAGCCTTCACCCTAGGCTGCAGCTGCAGCCTGCTGCTTTATTCTGGGCCAGGGTCTCTAAGTCACAGAGTTGCTCCCGCTGAGCTGGGACTTGGAGCCCTCTTGCTTCAGCCTCTTAGAGTGCTGGGATCATGCCTGACTCGGTGGATTTTGACATCAATGCCACAGATGCAAATACTTTGAAAGTGCTGCCCTCTCCCTCAAGCCTGTTTTGTCTTTCTCTGTTAATTTACCTGCCCCCGTGTGAGGCGTTGCACCCTCCACCAAGAGAACGCTTGCCGTCCACACGTTTCTCCATGAGAGAGTACAGGCTGCCTCGCCCGCCTGCTGGCTGCTGAGCCCAGCGCTGGCAGTCCCGCTGTGTGCCTGGCTCCAGGGCCTGGGTGTTCTCCCTCCACAGGAAACGGGGCACCACTGATATGGGGCAGGCAGCTGTGCTCTGCTGCCCCGTGATAGGAGCACAGTGGGGCTGCAGGGCCCTGCTGGACATCACCAGGATGCCCCCGGCTGGCAGCTCCTGGGAAGTGGCAGCCCTAGCAGCACTGGAAGGGCTTGCTACTTGTCTGCAGCAGGGCTGGCTGGGCAGTGGAGGCAGAGGCTCTGCAGGTTGGCCCTGGGCACAGCCCCTCCAGAGCCCACCTGAGAGGCGGCAGGGCCCTATCACCTTCAGCCCTGGCAGGTCTGCAGTGCTCATGATGTGAAGTTTTAGTTTTTTAAATTTTCATTGGCCCTCCTCCAAATCCACCTTGAAGTTCAGCAGCTAAAGTGCTGTGATACATTGCCCTGGCTGGAAGTGGCTGGGGCCGCCCTCTAGCCTTGGGCCTACACAGTGCCCAGTGGTGGGGTGCTAGGAGCTGCACTGGCCAGGCAGAGCGGTGTGCGGAGGAAACAGACCCAGGACCACAGCGGTTGACTAGAGAAGGGTCCGACAGCACAGGCAAGTGCTGGGGGCGGGGGGGCAGTTTTCAAAGGCTTTGGATGTGAAGAGGAGAGGCCATTCTGGGCCCAGGAATCTGGGCCTCAGGGGGTGCTGCCCACACCCCCAGGAGTAGGCGGGAGTACTGAGGCATGGGAAGCACACCCCCCATCATGTGGTCACCCGCAGGAGGAGGAGCTCAGGGACAAATTTAAAGATGCAGAGAAAGGCTCTATTCTTCCTGGACCCTCAGCCTAGCCCTGGCCCAGGGAGGCAGGTGGCAGAGGCTCAGATATGTCTGGTCCTGACGGGCCTTTTGGGAAGGGGGCAGAGCGTGGCTGAGGACCAGGTTCATGCACCCTGGGAATGAGACTCGGTGAGCAGTGGGCACCTAGCCGGGGAGTATCGGATCTGTCTGGGCCGTGCTTGGACCAAGGCAGTCCCACCATGCAGAGGGTGAGTGATGGCCACTCTAGGGGCCCCTGGATGGATGGCGGCAGGTATGCAAGACACCAGGCCTTCCTTCCAGCACCATGAGCTGAGTGGGAATCCTGGAGTGATGCCAGCTGGAATTCAGGACTCTGGTGGCCCCTTGTCCCAGAACAGGACCGGTCCCCTGCAGGAGCCCTCAAGGAGGATCCTGGGCTCCATCGATGCCACCCCCTCGGCCACCCTGCCCCTTGGGCTGCCTGCCAACCACACAGAACCAGGGTGCCTGCATGTGTCCGTCCCCGATGGGCTCTTCCTTGTCCTGGGGCTGGTCAGCTTGGTGGAGAACGTGCTGGTGGTAGCCGCCATCGCCAAGAACCGTAACCTGCACTCGCCTATGTACTGCTTCATCTGTTGCCTGGCCCTGTCCGACCTGCTGGTGAGCTGCAGCATTGTGCTGGAGACGGCCATCATGCTGCTGCTGGAGGCAGGCACCCTGGTGACGGCGGCCGCCGTGGCGCAGCAGCTGGACAACGTCATCGACGTGCTCATCTGTAGCTCCATGTTGTCCAGCCTGTGCTTTCTGGGTGCCATCGCCGTGGACCGCTACATCTCCATCTTCTACACACTGCGGTATCACAGCATTGTGACGCTGTCGCGGTCCCAACGGGCCATCACAGCCATCTGGGTGACCAGTGTCCTCTCCAGCACCCTCTTCATCACCTTCTACAAGCATACCGCCGTGCTGCTGTGCCTGGTTGCCTTCTTCCTGGCCCTGCTGGTTCTCATGGCAGTTCTGTACGTGCACATGCTGACCCGAGCCTGCCAGCATGCCCAGGGTATTGCCCAGCTCCACAAGAGGCAGCGCCCAGGCCCTCGAGGGTTCTGCCTCAAGGGTGCTGTCACGCTCACCATCCTCCTGGGCGTTTTCTTCCTGTGCTGGGGCCCCTTCTTCCTGCACCTCACTCTTGTCATCCTCTGCCCTCAACACCCCGTGTGCAGCTGCGTCTTCCAGAACTTCAACCTCTTCCTGGTGCTCATCATCTGCAACTCCATCGTGGACCCCCTCATCTACGCCTTCCGAAGCCCAGAGCTCCGCACAACTCTCAGGGAGGTGCTGCAGTGCTGCGTCCCCTGAGCATAGGGCTGTGCCGGTCTCAGGCCAGGGTGCTGGGCAGAGGGAGGCAGGATGATCTCGAAACGTGCAGGATCAGGGAGAGGGTGAGTGTCACCCTGAAAGTAGGAGCCTGAGCAGCCACCACAGGGAAGGGGGAAGCTGGGTGTGTTAGGACTCGGGTGCTAGGTGCCTGGGAGACCTTCTTCCCCCTGGAGAGTGCCTGCTCCATCCCAGGTTGAAGCAACACCCACTCCATTCAGGATTTGTGTGGGGGGGTGTGCTTTGTTTTTTGGTACTAGGAATTAAAACCAGGGCTTTTGCACTGCGCTGTCTAGCCCTTTATTATTATTATTTTTTTTTTTTTTACTTTTTTGAGACAGAATCTTATTAAATTGCTAAATTGCCCTAACTTTTTTTTTTTTTTTTTTTTTAATGTTCCTGCCTCAGCCTTCCAGGATATTGAGGTTACAGGCATGGTCTTCCACATCTGGCTCCCTGCCCAATTTTTGCTGCTAGCTCTTGAGGCTTGTGACAAGCCACTGGGACAAGAAGTCCCGGTTAGAAGAGGGATAAGAATCAGCAAGGAAGGGGTCTGGGGATACAGCTCTGTGGCTGAGCGCCTTCCTGGCAAGTACAAGGTCCTGAGTTCGATTCCTGGTACTGCAAAAAAACCCCAAAATCATGCTCCTGGCAAAGGGTGCCACCAGGAAGCTCCAGCCACAGCCAGAGAGTAGGTGCCTCAGGAGGAGGGACAGGATTTCCAGCACAGTTGCTTTGACACTTGCTTTGTACAGGGCAGTCGGGCTGACCCTCCCTGTGCAGAAAGCTAGAGATCCACTGTTCCCCTGCGCTGTGCGCACTCCAGCAGAGGTTGACTGGAAGGTTCTTCAGGGACAGGACCTGGGGGAACTGGGCCAGGGAACTTGTTAATAAATACTGTGTCCTGCAGCTTGTCCAGAAGATGCTTGATGTGTGGATGAGAGGAAAACGGGCTGGAAATCAGGAGGGGGAGAAGGGGCCCTCCCAGTTGTGGCCATGTGCCCAGGTGAAAAGCCACAGTCCCAAAGGATGCCAGCATCTATGGGAAGAGTGTGGAGGTCCCAGTCAGACTCATGCAGGTCCTTGGCTTCCGCTCTGGCTCCCCACACTCCAGCACAGAGGCAGGAGTAGCAGGGTCCACACACCCTCCTCCGTCACCTCTGCACCCACGTTCGTGGCCCTGACATCGCTGCCTCCGGAGTGCATGCCGGGGGAGAGGGGCAGAACCACAATGGTCAGTGTGGCCTGCGTGGGACCTTGCCTAGTGAGGTCCCTTTCGTGGACCTGCCCACTGCACAGGCTGGGCCAGAGGCTTTGCTCAGCTTTGCCCTACAGGGTCTGGCCTCTGCCTGCCTGGGAAGCATTCACGCCACACTGCTGAGGACTGGACAAGGCTGGGGGTGGGGAGCGGTGGGATGAACCGTGCCATCTGGTGCTGGGGACAGACACCCAACTCTTCCTCTGCCCAACCCGACCTTTCCGCAGAGCCTGCCTCAGTTTCCTTCACAGATGCTGAGCACTCAGCTAGCCTCTGCCCTGGGGTAGGCCCAGTGGAGGCTGAGGCAGTGCTGGTTCTAGCAGAAAGCTTTCCACCAATCCCAACCTGGGCTGTGGTCGGCAGCAGCCCTGATTTCTGGCCCCAGGGCTGGGAGCTTGTTCCCGGCAGAGCTGGGGAGACAGCAGTGAGTCAGCCTTCAGCCTGGCACCAAAGCTCCGGGATGAGAAGGCTGGAGCTTGGCCCAGTGCCACCCTGGCAGGGAGGAGGCGCTGGCCTACGGATGCTCCAACCCTCTATCCTTGCTCAGACAAGGAGGCACAGCCAAATGCTCACCCCCGACTCCTTGAACGGGGACAGCTGGAAGCCGGGCTCGGAAAGCCATCTCCACATTGCGGGGGGCGGGGCCCCGCTGTAGACAAAAGGTTCTGCTCTAGAGGCGCAAGCCGGCGCTTCTCCCAAGAGACCAAGGTCTGTCCTGCGCAGACCCGAGCCGGCCTGCTCTCCGCGCGCTCCTGTGAGCGAGGCCGAGTATGTCTCCCTGATGGAGAGCTGTCGGTGGTAGTCTCAGGCCTTCACTGCATGGCTCACTCAGCGGGTGTCCACCGCACACGGCCGCACCCACCCACCCGTCCCCGACCAGCTGCTCCCCGCCCGCCCGTCCCGCAGTCCCCGCTCAGGTGGCGCCCTCGCTAGCACCAGAGGCCACAGAGCGGGTGACATCAGGGATGAGTCAGGCAGAAACCTCCTCCCCCACCCGTCCGGCCACTGCTGGCTCTGGTCCGAGGACAACCGCAAAGCTGCGTTTTCAGAGCCGGGAAGCCCTGGGGGAAGGGCAGGCAGCGCCCTCCTGGCAGGGGCCTTGGGGCCGCTCTGCGCCGCAGCCCTCCTGACCCCGGCTCCCTGGCCCTGCCCAAGATCTGCGCTCCCGTGGATCTATGGTCGGCTGTTGATGTCCCTGATCCGATCCCTAAGCCCGCAGAGTCCGACGGGCGCGGGGAGAGACCGCCGAGTCCCATTGTCCTCAGCGGAGCCCACGCCCCTGGAGGACCCCCGCCCAGCCAGGCGCTCGGGATGAGTGGTGCGGGGCCGCGGGGGCGCGGGGGGCGGAGCCGTGGCTCGGGGACCGGGACGCTATTGGCAGCACGCAGCCACCGGGGCGGAGACGTGGCTCTGCGGCGGGGACCCGATTGGTCATCCGCAGCCGCCGGGGCGGGGCCGTCGCTATAAGAGCGCGCTCCCAGGTCCTCGGGTCCTCCGCAGCGTCCGCTCCCGCAGCCAGCATGAGGGAGATCGTGCACATCCAGGCCGGCCAGTGCGGCAACCAGATCGGGGCCAAGGTGAGGCCGCCCGCCCTACGCCTTGGAATAGAGGAGGGAGCGGGAAGGATCGGGGAGGGGGCGCCGTGCTCCGCGGGCCGCGCCCCTCGCGAGGCCGGGAACAAAGGACCCAGCCCCGCCCCGCGCCCCGCGCGCCCTCCTCTGCAGCCCAGGTGACGCGGCCGCCCAGGTGCAGCGAGGACCTCGGGCTGGGTCGGCCCGGGCGTGGCCCTGCTCCCGCGCAGTGTGGTCGAGCGAACGGGCGGCGGAGCAGCTGGGTGGGGCCGGGTGCGGGGTGACCCCGCCGCAGGGACGTCCGCCTTCCCTTTGTTGGAAGGTCTGCTGTCTGATGACCTTGGTCTGAGCTGGACCCCGCGCTCGCCTTGCTGGCCGAGCCCACCCAGCCCCGCGAGCCTGGATCCGAGAACAAAGCCTCAGCCCGGCTGGCTGCGCTGAGCGGCCTCCGCTCCACAGTCGGCCGGCCCGCGGACGCAGGCCGCGCAGAAGAGGCTTGGCGCAGTGACCGCGCGGCTCAGAAGGTGGCCTAAACCCGCCCGGACTCCCACAGCTGTCCCGTCCCCAGTCCTGGTGGCTGTCCCTTGCTCAAGGTCACAGCAAGTGGAAGAAGGCTTTCTGCCACTGGGTACTGTCGACCAGGGATTCGGGTGGGCGGAGGCGCCGGTCTCCCTTAGAACTGCGTAGGGCCCCGGTCTTTGTCAGGACCGAGGCCAGGGACATAGCTTCCTGAGGGGAGACGTCCTGCCGCGGAGGGGCCCGGGAGAGACGCCTCAAAGGCTGTTACCATGGAAACCAGGCGGGAACAAAAACCTAATTACCAGGGGCCGGGGCAGCCACGTGGCTGACATGCAAATTGCAAGTTTGGCTCTTGGGTGGAGGTGTCTCTGCTGGGGAGACTCCCTAATCACGGAGGAGACAGCTGCGCCTGCTCCTGGAGGGGTGGGGGAGGGGAGGCCGGGGTCCAGAAGCCTGGGATCAAATCTGGACTCCTGGGCGGTGGCTGACAGCTGGCCTGGCCTGAGGGAGGGGCCGAGGACCCATTAACCGGTCACAGGGGCCTGCCCTGCCCAGAACATCTGCTCCTGACCTGGTGACCCTTCCTCTGTGGCCAGGACTGGCCCTGCACTGTGATCCCACTCAGGCTTGTATCAGGCTAGAGCTCAGGGCTGCAAGTCAGGGCCACCCCAGGGCCCCCACTGTGGGCCACTGGACAGAGGCAGCACCTGGGCGCTGGACAGTGCTCTTGGCTGAGATTTGTTCTGCTTCTCCCCGGTAGGACCCTTATTCCTTCTGAGTTATTCTCAGTTTGTGTTTGCTCAGAATTTTAATATCTGAACTGGGTGTGGTTGGTTGTACACATCTGGAATCCCAGCACTCTGGATGGCTGAGGCAGGAGGGTAACAAATTCGAACCCAGCCTGAACAACTAAGCAAGACCCTGTCATCAAAAAATAAAGGACCAAAAGCAATTTAAAAGAAAAAACTGGGGATGTAGCTCAGTAGATAAGCCCTGGGTTCAATCCCTAGTGAACAAAAAACTCCGATCTTTTGTAACAATGCCAATAGCTGAGAGGTGAATCTTCTCTTAGTAGATCAGTGTCTTCCTTTGTCGCTGCACCCTGCACTAGTTCCTCACTGGCTCCTCTGCCTGGAAGCCCCAGGCCAGTCTGTACACCTGCCCCAGGCAAGGGGAAGCTTCCCTGCTCTGCAGCTGGGTTCTGTTTCCCTGTCCTGTCACTGTCACCGGGAGCTGCCACCTGGCCAAGGGAGGGGGCCCTGCTGCTTGTGGGACTTTGGGTGGTACCTGGCAGGTCACAGAGAGCGGGTGGGCGGGAGCCAGTCACCCTTCTTTCTGAGCGTTCTGACTGCCCTGTGAGCTGTGTGTGGCCTGCGTGGGAGGACTGGGTGTTACCTGCCCCCAGGATGAGAGTCTCAAAGCTGCAGAAGTTGGGTCCCTTGCCAGGGATCTCAGGGCAGGGTGGGTCAGGACTGGCAGGGCACAGGTGACCCCGGGGCTCCACCCCGTGGTTCCCGCGGCTGGGGTCTGGGCACCAACCCGGTCCCAGGGGCCAGTCTTGGAGTCGTCTTTGTCTGCGCCCCACCATGCGGGTGGACTCGCCCCTCCCCTGCCTATGGGCGTGGCCAGCTTCTCAGCGCCCCAGCAGCCGCGGGGGTGAGTGTGTAGGGGCTCCAGCCTGCACCCTCCTTCAAGGCCGATTTCCTCAGGGGCCTAGCTAGGGGCACCGCAGGGTCAGCACCGCGGACAGCGCTCCCCTGCCTGTGCCGGACCCTGGGCTCTTGAGGGAAGCTGGGCCTGAGCTGTGGACTGTGTGTCCGTTATTTTATTAACTACGTTACATCATTTAGTTTTACTGATAGTGTTTTAAATTACATTTTTATTGGGGCTGGTGAGATGGCTCAGTGGTCTAAAGCACCTACTTAGAATAAGCTTAGCAAAGCACAGGGACCGCGGTTCAATCCCCCAGCACCACATGCCAGCCAGCCCCGCCCCCTGGTGGGCTGAGCTGGCCACACACACACACACACACACACAAAATAAATAAAATTAAAAATAATAATAATAAAAAAATAAAATTAAATTACATTTTTATCAATGTTATATGCAAAAGTATTTGCTAATATATTTTTGCTGTAAATTTTTTTTTTTGTTTTTGTTTTTTTGAGACAGGGTCTTGGCTATGTAGCCCAGGCTGGCCTCCAACTCACAATGATCCTCCTGCTTCAGCCTCTTGAATGCTGGGATTACAGGCATGTATCACCAGGCCCAGCCTTCTTTCTAAAAAATTGAAATATGGCAGAGCTGGGTGTGGTGTCATGAACCTGTAATCCCAGCTACCCAGGACACTGAGGCCGAAGGGTCTGGTGCTAGGTATGGTGGCATTTTGCCTGTAATCCCAGTGCTCCAAAGCCTGAGGAGGATTGCTGTGAGTTTGAGCCCAGCCTAGGCTACACAGTAAATTCAAACCCAGTTTTTTTTTGTTTTGTTTTGTTTTGTTTTTTGGTTTTTTTTTCAGAACCGGGGATTGAACTCAGGCCCTTGCACTTGCCAGGGAAGCACTTATTCCACTGAGCCATCTCCCCAGCCCCTCAAACCCAGTTTTAACTGCATAGCAAAATCCTGTCTCAAAAAACAAACACACACAAAAAAAAAAGAAAAAAAGAAAGAAAGAAAAGAAAAGAAAAGAAAAAGAAAGAAAATTTAGGGATGACAAAAGTACATAAAAGGGGGAAAGAAATCCAGCCTCATGCTTGCTGAGTGACCTCCTGTTAGTATAAACCACCAGACCTGTAGGTGTTTTATAATAATCTATTCAACTACTTTAAATTAAAAAAAAAAAAACTTTGAGTTAATACTTAAAAAAAAAGGTAGTGCCAGGCATGGTGGCACAAATCTGTAATCCCAACACTTGGAGGCTAGGGCAGGAAGATTGTTGGTAGTTTGAGATGAGTCTGGGCAACAAGGTGAGCTGAAGGCCAGCCTGAACTGCATAGTGAGACCCTGTCTCAAAAAGACAAAAAAGACCAAAGGGAAAAAAAAAAAAAAAGTACGCACATGACAAAATTCCAGCAGCACCAAAGGGTAGCACGGAGAAAAGTTCCTGGGGTCTGGGACTGTGTCCTACACGTAGCTTCCACGGTTGTTGGCAACATCCCCATATAGTCAACTGGCAGCTAGGTGTTTCCTAACACAGTTATTATTATTATTATTATTATTATTGTTGTTGTTGTTGTTGTTTTTGTTTTTGTTTGAACCAGGGCTTGAACTCAGGCCCTTACGCTTGCCAGTGAAGTGCTTATTCCACTGAGCCATCTCCCTGGCCCCTAACACAGTTCTTTTGAAGAGCAGTCTTTCTGTGAGCCCCTGACTGCTAAGTAGAGGCCCTTTGTTTATTAGAGCATCTCAAGTCCTCCAACCTCCAGGGGTGACCCAGGAATGAGGAGGGGTCTCGTAGCCCTGGGGAGCATGCAGCACGTGACCACGGAGACTGGCGGATGCTGACGCCACTGAAGGGTGCCTGGGCAGAGGCTCTGCAGCCTGCTCACCCAGACGCTGTGCTCACCCGTGTGCTGGCAGCTCTGTCACATGCAAGAGGGCACCAGGCTGCAGGGACTCCTTGTGCCCTGCCCGTGGTCATGCACTGCTGTGCCCAGTGACAGGAGCCATAGTTGAGGGGTGCAGTGTCCTCTCGCCATCTGGAAGGGGTGGTTGGGCTCTGCATGAGAAAACGAGCCTGTGAGTTACAGGTTCCATGTGGACAGGGGTGAGCTCTGCAGCCCAGCCTGTTGGGACTGGCTCTCAGGGTTCCTGTGGGCCCACTCACTGGGGCTGGCGATGTCCCTGGGCAACACTGGCACTGACACTGAGGGCCCCTGGGTGCTCAGGAAGCCTGGATTGCAGACAGCACAGGGCTTTCTGGAGCCTCTCAATGAGGTTGGCGGGACCCAGGTCTGAATTTGGTGCTGAGAGCTGGGAGGCTGGAGGGGGTGTAATTTTACCACTTTGTGGTCATCCGCTGACTTTGCTTCTCTTCTGCCTGCTGCAGTTCTGGGAGGTCATCAGTGATGAGCATGGCATAGACCCCAGCGGCAACTACGTGGGGGACTCGGACCTGCAGCTGGAGCGCATTAGTGTCTACTACAATGAGGCCTCTTGTGAGCACCCGCCAGGCCCTAGCCCTGGGGAGGGGCACTGGACGGCGGAGTAGCAGCGCTGTGGGTGGCCTAAGAGGCCAGAAGGGGGGCTGGAAATGAGGTACCCAAGCTGCAGGCAGCAGGCCGCAGTGACAGCCATCACAGAGTGAGAGGCACGTATATGTGGCAAGGGACAGGTCATGGGCTACAAGTGTTGGTGAGGGCTGATGTCCACTGGTACAACGTAATTCCCATGGCACACTGGTGGAATATTACCTCCCCACAGGACCATGTGACTTGGTAGCAACGCGGGAACTCTCCATGAGTCCCAGCCTTAGATGAGAGCAGGTGCTGCCAGTCCTTAGACAGGATTCAGAGGGCAGGAGGAGGTGTCCCTCTGTGGCTTGTGTCACCAACCTCCTGTCTCCCTTCAGCTCACAAGTATGTTCCTCGGGCCATCTTGGTGGACCTGGAGCCCGGGACCATGGACAGCGTCCGGTCCGGGGCCTTTGGGCATCTCTTCCGGCCAGATAATTTCATCTTTGGTAAGTTTGCTCTGCCCATGCCCAGTGGCAGCAGCCTGAGGAGGACAAACCCAAGAGTTCTGGGATTGCCACCGAAGCTTCCAGAGTGCCAGGTGGGGGAGGCAGGACAACACCGGCTCATGCACCCGAGTTCTTGGTTCTGCCCTGGATACCGGCGCACAGGGCCGGCACCAGCACTGTGCAGTGGTGCAGGGTTGGGCAGACTGGGAGTGCAGCCCCTTGACCTCTGCCCAGCCACCCCTCCTCTTGCTTCCCTACAGGTCAGTCGGGGGCAGGCAACAACTGGGCCAAGGGTCACTACACAGAGGGTGCAGAGCTGGTGGACTCGGTCCTGGACGTCGTGCGGAAGGAGTGTGAGAATTGCGACTGCCTGCAGGGCTTCCAGCTGACCCACTCACTGGGCGGGGGCACGGGCTCGGGCATGGGCACCCTGCTCATCAGCAAGGTGCGTGAGGAGTACCCCGACCGCATCATGAACACCTTCAGCGTGGTGCCCTCACCCAAGGTGTCAGACACCGTGGTGGAGCCCTACAACGCCACGCTGTCCATCCACCAGCTGGTGGAGAACACGGATGAGACCTACTGCATCGACAACGAGGCCCTGTACGACATCTGCTTCCGCACCCTCAAGCTGGCCACGCCCACCTATGGGGACCTCAACCACCTGGTGTCTGCCACTATGAGCGGTGTCACCACTTCCCTCCGTTTCCCAGGCCAGCTCAATGCTGACCTGCGCAAGCTGGCTGTGAACATGGTGCCCTTCCCGCGCCTGCATTTCTTCATGCCTGGCTTCGCCCCACTCACTGCCCGGGGCAGCCAGCAGTACCGTGCCCTGACCGTGCCCGAGCTTACCCAGCAGATGTTTGATGCCAAGAACATGATGGCCGCCTGTGACCCACGCCACGGCCGTTACCTCACAGTGGCCACGGTCTTCCGGGGCCGCATGTCCATGAAGGAGGTGGACGAGCAGATGCTGGCCATCCAGAGCAAGAACAGCAGCTACTTCGTGGAGTGGATCCCCAACAATGTCAAGGTGGCCGTGTGCGACATCCCACCGCGCGGCCTCAAGATGTCTTCCACCTTCATCGGCAACAGCACGGCCATCCAGGAGCTGTTCAAGCGCATCTCGGAGCAGTTCACAGCCATGTTCCGCCGCAAGGCCTTCCTGCACTGGTACACAGGCGAGGGCATGGACGAGATGGAGTTCACTGAGGCTGAGAGCAACATGAATGACCTGGTGTCCGAGTACCAGCAGTACCAGGACGCCACTGCTGAGGAGGAGGGCGAGATGTATGAAGATGATGAGGAGGAATCTGAGGCCCAGGGCCCCAAGTGAAGCCTCTCACAGCCGAAGTCTGGGGCTGCGTGGCAGCCAGGGCCAAGACAAGCAGCCCCTGCCCCAGAGCTGTCTAGCTACGACACTGTCCCCAGCTTGGCTTCCCACCAGCTTGTCCCAGCGCCCAGGGCTCCCGAGTTAGGGTCCTCAGTATTTATGGCCACCCCGCCCATGAGTCCATGGCTCTGTCCTCCCCACTTAGGGCACCTCTGTTTCCTGTTGCTCTCGGTCTCTTTGTTTTATTGTGGCTCCAGGCCTGATGTTTTATGGTTTGTTTTTTACTGGTTGTGTTTATATATTTGGGGGGGAATACTTAATAAATCTATTGCCGTCAGATACCTGTGCCTGGTGCCTGAGATTCCTTGTTATGCTGCAAGCTGGGTCTGGAGGGTGAGGAAAGCATTCCAGTCTCAGAGCATAGCCTGGGAGCTGCTGGAGGCGGAGACGAGCCCCAGGCTGAGCCCATCCTGGTCTTGCGGCTCGGGGATGAGCCTATGACCCTAGTATTCTTCTGTCTGTGGAGTGCTACATGGGGAGGGGCAGGAGGGAGACCAGGAAGGGAAACCAGAGCATTCATAGGAGAAAACCAGGGGGGTGGGAGGTGGAGATGGGGCGTGGCCAAGGCCTAGGGGTGCGCTTGCTGTGTGCACCTGGCCATCGTCCCCGGAAGCTGCGGCATGCTGTGTCCAGGGCCACAGGCCTGGGAGCCAGCATCGGCACAAGATGCTTGCTCAGCACTGCTTTGCCTTCTACAGGGTAAAGCTGAAGGCCAGAGAGACCCCGCTGCCCAGGAGCTTCAGGGTGTGCTACTGGGCCAGGTCCCGACTTCTCTGCACAGCCTCCCATGACCGCGCTGTCTAACCTCAGTCCGTGCGCTGTGCTTGGCTCTCCCTCAGCAGCGGTGTCTGTGCTGGTGGCCCTTTCTGTATCGCCCTGCAATGGCTGTGCAGCAGGAGAGGCCAGAGGCACTGAGGTCCCATAGGGCCCTGTGTCCGCGGTGCTGGGTCTGGTGCCAGCCGGGCCCTGGCAGCCCATGTGGATGGGGACCCAGATGGGTAATGCTGTGTTCTTTCATTCAGCTCGAACCACCTGAGAATTTAGTGACCTGAAACAGCAACTCATCCTGGGTTAACTTGGTTTCTCCACATCCCACAGAGTGGGTTGGGGTAACTGCAAGGTCTAACACCTTGCCCTGGACCTACTCCCTCAGCAGGTTTGGCTGGCTTCATGCAGTGGCTGGGCCAGTGGCACCCCCAGGGGCCAGTGACCCCCAGCCTGCGGTACTGTTGGGAGGTGGTGAGAAGAGAGGGTTTCCCGAGGATGCCCTGGGGGGGGGCATTGGGCCCTACCTTTTCTATTTTCTTTTTTGGTTCTCAAGTTTTATTCAAGAACTCATTAAAAATATCCAGACAAAGGAGCTTTAATCCTCATCTTCCTCCTCTTCTTTCTCCTGGTTAATCTGGAAGTAATGTAATTTGTAACTCCCTTTGCTGCTAGCAACTACACACAACCAGTCATGCAGATTACTCTAACATTTGTGTGTGTGTGTGTGTGTGAGAGAGAGAGATATTTCAAATACCTTTTGGAAAAAGGCACCTCAGAAGTCACGGTGATCCTGCTCTTGCTCCTTTCAACGGTGACCGCCCTCCACTGAGATTCCCGGCTTTGCCACTCACCTTGATTCTTTCCTGGAGAAGCAGTGTGCATGATTCCATCTTCTACAGGACGTGTGTGAGCAAGGGTGAGCCTCAGGGCCTGCTGCTTTTTTTTGCCCCCCTTCACTGCAAGCTTTTTATGGGTGCCATGGAGTCTGCGGAATCAGAAAGGGCCTACCTTTTCTTTTAAAATTTATTTATTATTTATTTATTTATTTATTTATTTATTTTTTAAGGCCTCTGGACCAGCGTCTTTATTTTTATGGCCCAGCCTGCCATGAGGGTGGGACTGGTGCTGCATGTGGTGCCTGGGATTGAACTGCAGTCCCTGCGTGCTTGCCTAAGCAGGCGCTTTAGATGGCTGAGCTATCTCGCCAGCCCCTCTTTTAAAATTTATTAAAAAATCTTTTATTTGTTTATTTATTTGGTACAGGGTCTTGCTGCACAGCTCAGACTCATAGTGATCCTCCTGTCTCAGCCCACCACACCCAGTTTCGTTGGCTGGCACAGCACGCCCAGGTTCCTGGGCCGGCTTGGCATGCAGTACAGGGGATCAAACCCTGGTCTTTGCACTTGCCAAGCAGGTGCTTAGACCACTGAACTATCTCCCCAGCCCCTTTCTTCTCTGTTCTTTCACTTCCCAGCTGCTGTGAGGTACACAAGTGTCCCAGGCCACACATGCTATTATGAGGTGTGGCCTTGCCCTAAGTCCAAAGCAACCAAGCCATTCAACCATGCCTGAAATCCTAGGAACCATGAGCCAAAGTAAGTCTTCCCAGTCTGCATTTTATCACCTTCTATCTATCATCTGTCTACCTATTATCTGTCTATCTATCTATCTATCTATCCATCCATCCATC